TATATAATTTATATATATATATATAAAAGTTAAATGATAATTGTAGAGAAAAAATTGTAATTTTACGGCAATATATACGTATATATTATAATTATAGCATTACAAATATGCATACTTATTTATGAAGCATTTATATAATAAAAAATCATAAATTTGATAGCTTGTATTATAATTAAATATTCATGTTAAAAATCGCAAATTTACATCAATAATTGTCGATAAGATCAACGTTCTTCAATTACCTTCAGGCCATCGGGGCCTTTTTTTGTGAGGATGAAAATTTATCTAAAGTTAATGATCTTTAATAATATCTCGTCGGTATTAAATGATCAGTGTAAACTGGAGCACCGACGAGATACTATTAAAAACCGGCATCCTTACGGGAGTTCACGTCCTTGTGAATATTGAAGTAATTAAGAGTTAAAAACTGATAATATTGTACTAATTTTATGATTTATTAATTTAGTAGACGTATTTATGCATTTATAGAACTTAATAATACTCAATTTTTCTTTAAAATTGTGATTTCAGTGTTATCGTCAAAGTTTTATTATCAACAGAAATGATAATTGCAGAGAGAAAATTATAATTTTTCTGCAATATATAAGATATAGCTTTACAAGTATGCATATTTATTTATGGAACATTTATGTAATAAAAAATCATGAATTTAATAATATATAAGTCAAATATTTATGTATAATAACAGCAAATTTATATCAATTGTCGATAATGTCAGCGTTCTTCAATTATCTCCGTTCTTGGGGCCCTTTTTATACCGCCGAAAATTGCCCAATATTTGACGGTCTTTAATAGTATCTCGTCGGTGACTAGAGCAATGTCAGCTTATATTGTTTTGTATTTTTGTTTCATATTTCGATTCAATTCTTTGAAGCCTTATTATTAAAGATATATATTGTTACAATTATATCAATGTTTATTCATGTTATCAATAATTTAATCATTAAATAAGGTATTATGACAAAATAATTTAAAGTTTAAAATTTGCCATGTAGTGACATTTCGAATTATTTTTCGGCAAACTGATGGTTATTAATTTTCCAGATTTTTTCCAGAAATTATTTGATAGAAAGATATTATTTGATGCGAGTATTAAATCAATTGTAAAATAGAACACCGGATGGTCGTATGTAAACTTGTGTGTATGGCAAAAATCTAGTATAAAAAAAAAATATTAGCTAGAGAAATGTATTGTTTCGAAAATGGCTGCGAAAACTTCAAGCAATTGGCTACCAACTGAAATCCCTCAAGTGACTTTCAAGCGGAGACTATTTTTCAAGAATGATTTCGAAAACACAATTAATAATAATTTAGGAAAATTAACAATAATTTAGGAAATACTACTAGTGGCTGCAGAGAAAGCGATTTTGCAACTGTAAAATTCTTCAGTATGATTGGTTTCTGCATTTAGATCTGTAAAGAACCAAAGATAAGAGCCAATCGTATTGAAGAATTTTACAACAGTTGCAAAACTGTTTTCTCTGTTAAACGCAAACATTACTAATTTTAATATAAACTAGAAAGTGTTCTCATGTTTTACTGATACTCATGTTGATTTTACGCGTGCTTGACTTTTGCGCGCGCATATCGACAAAATTATTACATACATATCCACGTGTGTATAATAATATAGATAAAAGCGAGATCTAAATAAAGAGATACCGAGCACGTTAAATTTCCTATTGTAGTGTACATTTTATATTTATATATATATATATAAATTTATATATGTATATAAAAGCTACAGTCCTCTTTTAGAGAAACATTCCAATAAAAGTGCAAATTTTTTAACATTATTTATTGTAGGTAATATATTACGATACATCTGAAATATAATTATTTGGAATAATATGGATGAATTAAAATGTGGAACGAATTAAATGTGGAAATTAAAT